AGCAGCAGCAGCAGCAGCAGCAGCAGCAGCAGCTGCTGCTGCTGCTGCTGCTGCTGCTGCTGCTGCTGCGGCTCTAGGTTGTGTTGAACTCAACTATATGCTGCATGGGGGCAGCAGCAGCGTCTTCTCTGAAGCCGTTGCGGTTGCTGCTGCAGTTGCTGCTGCTGTGGGTGCTGCTGTTGCTGCTGCAGTTGCTGCTGCTTTGGGTGCTGCAGCTGCTGCTGTAGTTGCTGCTCCAATGGGGGCTGCTACTGCTGCTGCAGTTGCTGCTGCTGTGGGGGCTGAAGTTGCTGCTGCAGTTAATACTACTACATTGGGTGCTGCAATTGCTGCTGTCGTTGCTGCTGCAGTTGCTGCTGCAGTTGCTGCTGCAGTTGCTGCTGCAGTTGCTGCTGCATACGTTCGTATTGCTGCTGCTGCTGCTGCCGCTGCCATCGATGTGTTCTTTGCTGCTTGCAGCAGAATAATTTTTGTGTGTGTATTCAGTAGTGGGGGCCCCCAAAGAGGTATGCTGTTGCTGCTGATGCTGTTGCTGTTGTTCTTGTTGAGGGGGCCCCCTACTGCTACCACTGCTGCTGCTGCTGCTGCTGCTGCTGCTACTGCTGCTGCTGCTGCTGCTGCTGCTGCTGCTAGTGCTGCTGCAGCTGAATTTGTTTAGTGTTTGTGTGTGTATTTGTTTGTCTCCATTCCTAAATAGAGCTTTCCTTAACAAGTAATCACAAAGGGCCCCGGGGCAGAAGCGTCTCGCATCAGCAATGGAGCAGCAGCCGGATAGGTTTCTGGTTGGGTCTGCTGCAGCAGCAGCACCAGGTGCAGCAGCAATAACATAGTGAACAACCCCACCACGAACACCACCCCCAACACCACCAACCCCACCACCACCACCACCACCCTCATACACTACACCCTCACCCCTTACTATCTTCAGTATACGGATACGCCCAGGAAACAAACTCTCACACGGGTATTTGTTTACTAAGCCAGAAGCAAACCCTAGCTGGTTGCAGCTCAGCATAGGAACAGAGCGACGCATACGCTCAGCTCCTGCTGCTCCTGCTGCTGCTGCTGCTGCTGTTGCTGCTGTTGCTGCTGTTGCCGATGGACCTTCTGCTGCTGTAATATACAAACTGCTGCTGCTGCTGCTGCTGCTGCTGCTGCTGCTGTGCTCTGGCTCTAAGACGGATGTACTCACCCCCATTGGCGGGGGCCCCAAACCCCGAGCCGTACACACCGCAAACGCAGAGGGGTTGGGGGGGGCCCCCCACCCCTCCCCTGGTGGTATTAGAGGAGAGGGGGGCCCCTGCATGCACACTGCTCCTTCTTTGTAGTATGAGGAGTCCAGCGGTGCCTGCACTACTTGGTGGCTTGCGGGGGGGCCCCCCGGGGGGGGCCCCTCTGGTGCGGCTGCTGCTGGCGTACCCAGGGGCCCCTGAAAGCCGCCATCGAATACCCAAGAAGACGGGGGGCCCCGCAGAGGGGCCTCCTCTCTAAAGGGTATGCAGGGTAAGCATGCAGCCACAGGGGTGGGGGGGCCCCCTCCTGCTTGCGCAGCCCCGGGGACCCACCCCGCCTCCCCCTGGGCCCCCTCAGCACCACCCAGGCACACGGGGGCCTCTGCAGGGGCCCCCTCCCCTGCTGGTGTGTTGTAGGCGGTAGGAGATATGAACACAGAAGAGGAAACGGGGGGCCCCCCCCCTGGTGGGGGGGGGCCAGGGGGAGGGCCCCAAGCGTACTGCTGCTGCACGCCTTGTTCTGTGGGGGGCCCCCCAAACCCCGGAACGCTGTGCATAGGGGGCCCCTGAAGAAACGGGGGCCCCAGGTCCTCATCACTTGGTTCGTGAACAGTGAAGCCCGAGGGGCCCCCTGGGGGCCCCCCTGCTCCTTCTGTTTCAGAAGAAGACCTCCATGAGCTAGAGGGGCCCCCCGATACATCTGAGCGGCCGCCTGATGGGGGCCCCCCCCCTCTCGCCCCTGTTAGCCTCAAACGTCTGTATTTCTTGGGGCTGCCCCCGCTCCCCTTCTTGTGTGGGCTGGAGGGGGCCCCCCGGGATCCCCTTGACCGTGCTGCGCTTACTGCAGCACCTGGGG